AGAATAGGAAACTGTAGTAATGCATTGCATTATCCATTGAATCCAAGTTTGATGAAATCCCATTGCTTGCAAAACTGACCGGGTAAACTCCCATTCTATACGATCATATGCCTTGCTCATATCGGTTTTCACAGCCATGAAGCATCTCTTCTTAGCCCCTGAGACCTTTAAATAATGTAATGCCTCATGAGTAATAAGGACATTATCATTAATGGCTCGTTTTGGTACAAATGCTGACTGATTTTCGGAGATGATATCTTGAAGTATTGGTTAAAGTCTTCTTGAAAGCAGCTTTGAGATAATCTTATAGAAAACAGTACATAGTGCAATGGGTCTGTAGTCTACCATCCTTTGGGGGCTTTGGATTTTTGGAATGAGCCTGATATGGGTTTGATTTATGTTGCTTTGCAGATTCCCTGAGGAGAAAAAAGACTGCACCTCTATAACAATATTAGGACCAACAGTTTCCCAGTTAGATTGGAAGAAACTAGCTGAGAAACCGTCAGGCCCGGGTGCCTTATCAGCGTGTATGGAGAAACATGCACCTTTAGTTTCTTCCTCTGTTGGCAGTTCAATGAGTGCTTGGTTTAATTCTGTTGATATGCAGGGACTGATGGCTTTCTGGACTAAGGTTGTCCTTTTTCCTTCTTGTGAGGTGAATAAGGTTTGGAAGTGGTCAGATATGACTTTTAGAATACCATCCTCTTCATAAACAGGTAAGCCATCTTCACTTTCTATGACTGAGAACTTGTTAATGACTGTTCTGCCTCTTGTGATTGCATGAAAGTAACCAGAGTTCTTATCCCCCAAAGCTAACCATATTTGTCTACTTCGTTGCTTCCAGTATTCCTCTTCTGCCTTGTATGCTAGGAGCAAAGTATTATTGATAGAGGATATAAGCTCTTGGTTGGGTTCCTGACTTGCCATTGCCACCTCTAGAAGTTGTCTATTCTCTTCAATGACCTGCTGGCTATTCTGATGCTTTGTTCTGGACCAGGTAATTATCTCCTTGCGACAGCGATTAATCTTTTCCTCAACTTCCTCCATGTCACAGAAATTCCAGGCAGCTTGTATGAGTGCAGAAACTTCCTCATTGTTTTTTAGGCGTCGATCATATCTAAAGACTCCTTTTTTCTTTTTCTTAGACAGGTCAAAATGTGTAAGAAGAGGTCGATGATCAGACCCTTCAAACCTCAAATACTCACACCGACTACTCGGGTAAGCCTCAGCCCAAGCTCCATTAGACATAGCCCTGTCTAGTCTGCAATGAATAATGTGATCATGCCTTTTTCCTCTCCAGGAGAAGAAGTTGCCAGAGTGTCTCAAATCATAAAGATCACATTCAGCCATAAAATATCTGATGTCCACAAAAGGGCCTTCATGTATTGACGGTCCTCCTTGTTTTTCTGAGGAGTCTATAATGTCATTGAAGTCTCCTGTAAGGTACCAGGGATCTTCTCTGCTTCTGCCTAGGTCAGTGAGTTGGTCCCAAATTGTTTCTTTTAGCCCTGTCTGGTTCTCCATACAAGAAAGTTGCATAGAAAGATTTTTCGGCTGCCTTGACTTGAGTATCTAAGAAAGTTTGGCAAGATGAGAGAATGGTAATATCCACTTCTTTGGTCCACAGGAGGGCTAAGCCACCACCTCCTGGACTATAGGGGGAATCAATTTGTGTGAAGTGTAGTGCATCCAGTCAAGAGACTTAATAACAACATCATTAGGGTTCTTGGTCTCCATAAGGAACATGATTTCTGGTGAGACTTTAGAGTGAATCTCACGCAACCGCTAGCCTGTTGTGGGACTCCCCAAACCACAACAGTTCCAGCTCAGCACCTTCAAGGAAGCTGAGTTGGTGGTTTGGGAAAATCCACCTTTTCCTTCACGATTGCAGGTAAAATGTTTACTCTTGGGCAGTCAGACTTGAGGAGGGTATAGAGGTACCAGCCTGTAGATTGAGTTTTTGTTTTGCTTTTGTGGTCTTACAAGTCCTTTCAACTCCTTATCTCTGACTTTCGCCTTTCTCCGGTGTATTTTTCCTTTTGGGAGAATTCTGAATTATACTCTTATTGCGCTTGCTAGACTTAGCTCCCATTAAGGGTAAGGCAGATTTGGTTAGGGACTTATTCAAAGGAGGGCGACCCCTTTTCTTTTTTGCAGGAACCACATTGGTAGATGGCAGGTCAGTAGAGAATCTTGGTAAGTCATGATTTCCCAAAAAGACCACCTGCTGAGATGCTTCTTCTGTGGCCAAGTAGGCCTGGTTTGACAGAATTTTCGACTCAAGCATCCGAGAGGCTGTTTCAGCCATTAGACCCCTCTCTTCTCCTTGTATGACCCTGCGCTTTCTTGCAGCACTTTCAGTAGGATCTGCTTAGTTAACATATTGTAGAGTTACTTCTCTAAGGTCTCCCATGATCTCTTCATTTGTAGGGATAGGAGGAGGAGGAGGAGGAGGAGGAGGTGTCACTTCAGCTGAGGTAAGAGTCCTTTCCAAAGGAGGTCTTCTTGTTCTGGAGTTTTCAGAACTGTCAGGTCTAGGACTGTATCTAGTGGTCTCTCTTTCTCGCCATTGATAACTTGATTTATCATACTGGGAGGGATTCCGAGGAAAATATCTTCTTGATTCAGTTCTGGAGGAATCATAGGATCTAGTGGAGTATCTTTTTGAGTCATTAGCTCTGTGAGCTGCAGGTCTCTCATCAGGAACATGGGAGCTTCTATGTCTTCTCTCCACGTTAGATACTTTCCTTGTTGGTAGATGATCTCTAACAGGATTCAGAGCAAAATCTCTGGATCTCCAGCTATCAGACTGTCTGCCCTGTTTACTAGAGACTTCTTTTGACAATCCATGGGAAACAGCCCGGTTCCCACTGTTACTGGGGGCAGCAAAGTTATCTTTTGGTGTATAGTAGTTTCGGGAAACCTCTTTTGGGGCTGGTGGGACCTCAGCTGTAGCAGAATTTGTCTTTTTCTTGTTTTCTTCATAGAGCCCTGGGCAGTGTTGTTTTTCATGCGACAGTCTCTGACTGTGTGAACAATGGTTTTTAAGATTCTTATACTCAAGGGTTACCAGAGCTTCACTACCATCAGGGAAATCAACCATGGTATCCTTGATTAGAGGTTTAAGACCATCAATAAGTATCCTAATCTTTGCTGATGAGTTGGTGATTTCCATATCCATGACTTCACCAAGTTCTTCTCCAATTTTATTGAGCATCACAGGTTTCTAGTAATGCTTTGGGAGGCCTTGTACTTCTATCCAGAAAGGGAGCTTGGATGGAAAGGTGTCGGAGATGATGGGTTCCCACTTCTGCAGAATAACCATCGACTGGTCATAGTGGTATGGTCTGTTATCGAGGACCTTTTGCATATCTTCCTCAAAATCAAAACAAAACTGGAAACAGCCTCTTCCCAGATCTGAACCAGTGGCTTTACCCTTTAGATTCCAACGGTTGGAAAGGAATGGGAACAGGGACCAGAGTCTCTGAACAGAGGGGTTAGTTAAGCGACCCATAAGGGTGAGGGAGTTTGCTTCTATAAGATCAGAAGTGTCAATCCTTGGGGCCTGGATTCTTCTGCGAGGAGGAGGGGAGTATCCTCTGTCAATTCCTTTGCCCTTAAGATGATAAGAGATTCTTTTATCCATTTTGTAGAAGAAGCTAGATGGTTCTCAGGTTAGGGTTCAGGGAATGAGTTCACAGGTTTGGAGAGGTTCTCAGCAAAGGGTTAAACAGGTTTAAAGGGTTATAAACAGCTTACAAGAAAGATTAGAGGAAAGTGAGAGAGATACTACCAGAATTTTGAACGAAGATGGAGAGGTAGCGTCCCTTCATGGAGGAGAAAACCAGTTCTGATGAAAAGTCGCCGGAGGGAAGCATCAGACCGCCGGACATTTTCACTTCTGGTTAATAACCGTTAAATACTACTGCTTTTAGAAAGAAATGGTAGGTGAGATCCGGTTTTTTGAACTTTCCATTCTTCTAAAAGCCTGCATGGGGGGATGTGCCTGGGAGAGACACGGGGTTTTAAGTCTCAACTCAATTTTCTTCACTATAAATGTATTGCTTCTTTTCTAGATTCTAAAAATGAAAAATAACAAAACAAAAAACGTGATATTTTCAATTCAAACGCCATATTGACGGCACAGTGGAACGCTACAAAGTTCGCCTTGTAATTGGGTTTCATCAACGCCTTCGATTTGATTATCAAACCTACAACAGTTCATACTATTGTTGGTGTGACGTCTCTAAATTAAAGCCTGCGGGATCAGCAACTAGATGTTAACAATGCCATCCTGCATAACACTGTAAGATGCATTTACAGGGCTTAACACCAATTAGCTTTGTGGATATAAAAAATTCATGTAATGTCACAAGCTTCAGGAAGCCATCTATGGATTGAAACAAGCACCCCGTGCTTAGAATTTGGAGCTTAAAAAGTTTCTGTTGTATTTCGAATTCTAACTCTCTATCTCCCAGGAGTCGCTCTTTAGTCTTTACACTCAATGCTGGTTGTGTTCGGCTTTATCTCTTGGTATGTTAATGATATATCTTTAACGATAGTGTCTCGAAGCGAAGTCAGGGGTTGGTTAGTCGTTTCAGTGTGCGGTTTTCTCTCAAGTTTCTTGCTGTTCTCAGCTAATCCCTGAATGTTGAAGCCTCATGCTCTGCCCCTAGTCTCTTACTAACACAACAACAATATATCATGGCTAGCACCAACATGTAGTGTGCCCAGTATTAATGATCTTTGCTAGGTCACCAAGATGTAGAACTTCGCTAGGCATATGGTTATCGACTATTATAATGTTGTGCCCAGTATTAATGATCTTTTGCTTTAACCACAAATCAAAGAGAGATTGATCATTCAATTCATCACTTTTCAATGTTCACCCACAGGTCATACCATCACTCCCTTTCATATGTTAAAAGTGCATTGAATTGACAACAAATGATGTCCTCAAAAACTCAACTTTCTCTCACTGATACATCCACACAGACAAAGACGTAATGTACTATTTACTGAACAAAAGAATTTCGCTAGCTACAATAACCTCACACCATATACTTGTATACATTTATATATAACAGACATCTGCCACCTGACTGGATTGAATATTGGATTTTATCACATCTTACCTTACATATACCTTGGATATGGATTGTAACCTTGAACCGAGCCATGCGGTTGGTGCGGATTACCATTGGATACAAACGGGTTGCCAAAGGGGTTGTTCATGTTCGGGTGCTGTTGTTGATAAGGTTGTACAGGTCCCATCATCATTCCTGCATTCTGATGCTGATACCCGAATGTTTGATGATTTTGGTTCGCCATTTGAAGAGGTTGAGGAGCTGCGACTCCATTAGTTGCAAAGAAAGGTTGGTGCATCATGTGACCATTATGAACTTGATTTTGTTCCCATGGATTGTAGCTCCTGTTTTGCTGTTGACTCACTCTTATTGCATCCTCATATAGGCTGTCAAGTGTGAGCTTGTCCAGTCCACCCGCCTTTTTAGTAAAATGATGATACAGGAAGAAATCTAATGTCATAAACACACAACTTCTGGGGCTGAACATAACAGAACGAGGGAAGAGAGTGAGAGAGGCTATTTTACCAATTTACTATTTGCAGCGGCACTTTCATTTGAGCTTGGGGCAGTCACAAGTGCCAATTCCCAGCCAGTCGAATTCCCATTTGTAAAATCAGTTGTCGAAGCTGGCGGCTCAACTGGAGAAAAAATCATCAGATTAATTTCAATTTATATATTTACCAGGAAGATAGGATCTAAGGAGTGATATATCAAAAATGCCATGTAAATGAACTGTATACCGCTAACAGGGACAATAGCCAAAGCCAAAGCATTTTTCTCTTCGAGTTCGGAGATCACTGGAGCTGGATCATCCATAGACTAGCAGTAGAAAGTCAAATGATTCAGCAGCAGTTCCAAGAAAAAGAAACGTTAGGATGGGAATAATTAGCAACTGAACAAATACCAGAAGATCAGGTTGTTTCTCTACAGGCTTCTCTGCTTCTGCTTTAACTGGTTCAGGTGATGCTGGTTTCTCTTCAACAACCTCTGGGGGCTTTTCGTACTCTATGGCCAAAATCTCTTTCGGAGCAGTAAGTTTCTCCACTACCTGCCGTTATCGTAAAAGTAAGTGTCAATAGCAACTTGGATCATAGTGAAGGAAATGGCGATGAGATTGTTCATGAAGAAAGAACAGGAAACGCCTAGAATATTTGATTTTACAAAACCAAGAACAAATGAACAGATAAAGAAACAAAGACAGCCTTACGAGAAACTCTCATACCTGCTCCTTCTTGACCCCTGCTGCTAATGGTGCTTCTTTCACATACTCTTCCATTGCTTGTAGAAAAGAAGTGGGAGGCTTCATACAAAACAAGATACAGTGAGGAAAAAGCTGGCACAAATAACCGAATCATTATTCACATTTGTTAGAAAATCCAACCTGCTCAATCTTTATAAATCTATCTCCACGTCCAACATTAACACTTTTGCAAACTTCGAAAAATTCAGAAAGCCTCCCTGCCTGAACGACCAATGAAACCAAACTTAAGGTGGGTCTTATGCCACACAAACGTGAAAGAAAAAACCAGCACACCAGTTAGAGGTTGTAAGCACCTGTTTTACCGCTCTTCTGTACATATCCAAAGCCTTAAGAGCATCATTCCGTTGCATCTCAAAGAACTGTCATCAAGGGAAATTTGTTTTCGAATAAGTCAAGAAAGGTAGAAAATATATACAGAAAAAAAGAGAGCTTTTGCATACCTTATCAACCAAATTGTCTATGCCATCTGTCAGTGCTTGGTATATTTTAGTGCTCTCAGATATAACCTAATTGGTGAGAAGTAGATTGAAAATCATAAATGCTGTTAACAAAATTTAATTGAGGAGCTATTAACTCCAGTTAATTGTATAGCATACCATTGAGAGTGCCAATTGGATAATGTGGTTTTGAACTGCTGCCCCTTCAGGCTGCAAAGATGCACCAATGTTGAATGAGTGTGAGAGAGATACAAATCTTATCCATAATAGAAGTTTACTTTGAATATATCATCTAATGCCCACATTGCTAACAAAATCAACACAAAACACAACAGAAGTAGTAGATGCTGAGTTAGATTATCACCTGACAGTCAAGAACACGGAAAAGAAGTTCTTGCAGAGCAGGAAGTTGCTCGAGCAAATCAGGAGTGTCCAAATCTTTGGTCCTCTGTATTGATAGCACGTTCGTGTGATTTCAAGAGTGAAAGAAAACTCTGAGAGCTCATAAGAGAAAAGAGATGAAACCAGAAACTTACTGGGGGGTCAACCTCAACATCGTACTTCAAAACACGGAAACACTCTAATCGCTCCTCTAAGAATAGAGCATAGAAACGGACCCAAGCAGAGTAAGCCCAAGCTGAAAATAGGGGTGAAGAAAGATAAGTGAACCAAAGAGCTTCTTGTATAAAAACAATTCAACGAAAATAAAAGCAGTCTACTACCATTTGGACCAGAATCATCTTTAAAATGAGACATATTTAGCATATGACTTCTGCTTCTGCTATAATTAATAACTTCTTCATGAAAGGTCTGGTCCACTTCCCTCAAGGCACGGTGAATAACAATAAGAGTTTTCAGTGCAACCTGTAAAAATAAGGAGAATCAACGGCAAGTACTAAATAGTAAACATCGACCTTTTCTTTACAACGATAGAGAATCAACAAAATCCATTGTGACTTCATAAAAACAGACAGATTAGTTGTAGCAGATCATGCACATCTAACAAACTAAGAATACCTAACTACTGCTACATATCTAGCAATTTCAGTTCTTTTCAGATTTCTAATAAGTAAACTTATTGGAAGGGAAGGTCCATAGAAAAAGCCATTACCGCCCAGTTATGTGTTCTTGATAACCGCCTGGCCAAAGCATGGATGCAATAAGCCACATCTGCACGAGGCCTTGTTGCTGAAATAGCCATGAAAATAGCTGCATAGAGACACACACAACTTGTTATATACCTTTTGGTTTATCGAACGAAATCAATGGCGCAAAAGAATATTTGCAACCAAGGCACTAACCATCAATGATTACCCACCTCTGATGTATCTTTCTTTAGAAGGACGCTCCACATGATTTGTAGCCTTCACAATAGCAATATCCAATTCCTGCAAAACAAAAAAAGAACCATCACACCACCATTGTTAGCTTAAGCAAAAACCGAAAAACCTATTTCACTTGGGAACAAAGTTAGTTTTTTACCTTGTAATCACTATTGACCTTAGCTAATGAAACTGTGGTGGTATCTTTAATAGCTCCAAGATACCTCCTTAAACTACTCTGTGATCCTCCACCACCTGACATTTCGTTTCTCGCTCCTTAACTATAGAAACCCTGAAATTCTTGAACCTTGTAACATTAGACCTAAAGATGTAAACTTTTCTCTTCAATCACAAAACCCTTATGTCAGCTAAGAACATAAACATCAAATCTACCCTAAAAAAACAAACTTTTCATTGTTTAATCGATACCCATAAGCCCTAGATTCATCAATAACCAAAAGGTTTAAAACCCAACCTTACAGAACCAAAAATATATACCAAACCAATCCAAGAAATATGAATCGAGATCCGTAAAGAAGAAGACTTTCAATCACCTGATCAAGGTTTCTTGAAAACAAGAAGGAAATCTCAGGAAGAAGAAAAAAAAACAAAATTCAACAACAAGGGATTTGGAAATTGGACAAGGACATCTAAGAATAAAGAGAAAGAGAGAGAAGACGAAGAAGAAGATGAGAGAGGTACAAAGTCAGAGTCTTTTGGTTTGTACGTTGGAGGAATAAGGACTTAGCAAAAATGAGCTAAGAGCTAACGTGATTTGGTTTGGTTTGGCCGCCGACGAAAATTATTCTTTTTATAAAAAAGTCTATCGCTTTACTTTTATAAATGTTTGAAAATAGGTCAAATCTTGACAATTATTCCACGTTGCTATTAGTATTAGCCAATTACCTTCCAGAAATCTGTATATTAATTATTACAATAATTTTGAACTGTCAAGACGTCAGAAAATTAATAAACAAAAAACAAAGATCATTGAGATTTATCATTGACAATTAATTGTAAGTAATATATATTTTTTTTTCATTTGTAACATATTACTAAAACTTTTTTGGATGAAAATAAAGGATCACTACTTAAAAGTTTGTCTATATACATTATTATGAAATTGTCATTTACGCCTAAAATATTTTTACAAATTAATAAATTCTATTTTAAACAGTTTTAGAAAGAGAAAACCAGAAAAACATGTTGATATACAAAAATGGAGAAGACTTAAAGAAAGTTTTTGTGATTTTGTTGAAAAATGTTGAATTTTTCATAGATAAAATTTCGTCTAAAACATTTAAAATACGTTTCCGAGAGTTCTAAAAATATTAGAATTTGTATTCTACACTTTATATATATTATAGAAAATTTATACTAATTTTTCGTTTAATAATTTAGAAGTCCGAATTACAAATTTCTAAAAAATTTGGACTATGCATTCTACGCTTTACTCTATATTCTAAACAATATTGAATATTCATTACACGGTTAACTCTATGTTCTACAAACGTTAAAGAATGTTTTATTACTTAAAAATATATACTCTACGCATATATAGAATATAATTTTTGAAAGTTTTAGAATTGCCTAAATATAGAAGTAAATCTTTAAAAAAAAGAAAGTAAATATTTATCAAAAGATTATGTTTAAATAGTATATATTTGTTAAGATTACATTCTACATAGTTTAGAAAACGTAGTCTAAGTTGTTTAGAAAGATTTAAATTGAAAATGTAAAAACCCAAAACTCTTATCGATTGTGCCCTAATTTACTCGATTTTTCTTTCCTTTTCAACGGATTTTATTGTGTTTTCCTCTCAAAGAGTTACTCGATTTTTTTCTCGAGTTTCATGTTGTTATCCTATTATTATTATGTTTTTTTTTTATCTTTACTCGAGTTTCTAATGTTGTTACTACAAGAATGGTTTGCAATGAGCTCAAAGAATACTAGAAATGTTCTTTAAGTAAAAGAAAAAAAAATCAAACTTTCTAATTCTACATGGAGTCAAATGTATGTGTTGGAAAGTTCTCTTATACTAGTCCCACCGGCCAATTCGGTCCTGATCTCAAAGCATTGACAAAACCACAAGATAACTTGAAAAATATTTGCCGATATGTTCAAAGAAAAATTCAATGTAAATTTTAGTTTGTTAAAATATGACATTGCCGCCGGCTTGTTTTGTCGGATTTTATGCCTGGACGAGGTCCAGTATCACCGTAAAGTTAGCAGTCAACACGGCTTCTCCGTTGACGTGATCTTGCCGTCAACATGGCTTTTCCGTGGCCGTGTTTCTGCCGTTAACATGGCTTTTCGTTTGCCATGTCTTTTTGTTTGTTTCAAAAGCTCGATGATGAATATTTCTGGCTTGTGTGATTGTTAGATCGGGAGAGTTTTCTTTTTGCCAGATCTATTCTCCTTGGCCTTGATATGATTCACCGTTGAGATTTTGCTTTTGGATCTGGTGGTTTCCGGCGATGTGTGATTTTGTTTTCCAAATAAAAGCGTTGGATCCGTCCGATTTAAGACAGTTTCTGTTTTATGGAGTCTTAAGGTTTGGTTAAAAGCTCGTTTCCTTTGCCAATTATGATTGCCTTTTGCTGCTTTTAGAAAATTTCAGAGATTCAAGTGGATCATCAAGGGTGGATTACTTCAATCTAATAGATTGGTTTGTCTTGTAACCCGTTATTGTCATCATCGGTGAGAAAAAAAGAAGATTCATTGCCGGTTTCCGGCGACGTTTCCGATTCACCGGATTTAGAATCTCTTGCATGCGGTAAAGGTTGTGGAAGCAAACACGTGTCCTCAGCTTCTCCCTATTGGTCCGACACGTCTTTGAGCTTATCCTCTTCTTGGACCTTCTTTGGGCTTTGTTGGAAGCTATATGGGCTGTCTTATTATGTTTACGACGATGTAATTTAGTAATTGCAAAGTTTGTCTTTTCAGTCAAAGACTATCCAAAATGGTTCATCCATTATTGGAAGCTGTTGTAAGTTTGATGATATCAATATAAATTCCATCTTTGAGAAAAAAAAACATTATTTTATACACTATCCCGTTGGTAAACTTTTTTTTTTTTAATGTAATATGCCATTTTAGAAATATATTATATGCTATTGTGGAGTCAACAGGAAGTACAATATTTGAAGAATGAATTTAAGTAGTTACATGTAAATACTTTTCATTAGCTTACAGTGTACAGACATGGCTCATTATATCTGGCAATCTAAATATTGCCTAAACAAAAATTTGCTGCGACTTGGCCCTAACTACAACATCTGCTCAAAGACAGAAACCAACATCAAAATGTGGTTACAAGCCCTATGCCTACCTCTTCTGCGAGTTCGTCCCATACAGGCAGGAGCGTCAAAATCACCAGGATTATTGCAGTCCCGACAAGGGCTTTCCTCCATGTTCCAACCTCGGTCACGTCGTTTAGACATGGTTTTTCAGGTGTTCTCTGTTCAAATCATTGTACTGCTTAGAAACAGCTTTTAAAGCTGACTCTTATAGTTGAAGTTACCGAGTTATGAAATTCTTGGTACCTGGCAGATTAGTACATAGAGTCCCCAAGGAAGTGCCAGAGGACCGCCGAGCTGATAAGAAAATGCCAGAGTAATAAATAAAAACAGGTTTGAGTCTTTGAGAGCACAACGCAAAGAGGATCGTTCAAAGAAAATATATATCAACAAAGGAAACAAACAGGTTGAACATACCACTCTGAGTCCAAGCATTACATAGGTTGACAAACCAAATGTAACCAATGCATTTTTCCCGAATGCGCCCTGCACAAGATTCATGCCCATATGTCTCAGACGTGATTGATAATGTCAACAATTTGACCTCTTATATGAATATTTCAGACACTTTCTGGTTCATACTTCATTTAAACTACACTACTTTTCAGGATATATAACAGTGTACACGAATTAACTATAGTATTTTCCTTGATACGAGTTGGGATTTTTCTCAGACTTTGTATCCAAAATTTCCTTGATACGAGTCGGGATTGTTTTAATGACAATACAGACTTGGAAGAAGTGTTTTTCTTGATATGAGTTGCGATTGGTGTGAGACTTTGTTACCAAAACTTTCACTAAGCAGCATTAGGTTTCTAGTTTTCGAATAGAGTATGTACCATTCCTTATATTAAGAGAAGTACCTGTACAGCTCTTCCTCCATCCAAACATCCCACCGGAAGCATATTAAATGCTGTTGTTGTTAAACCACACCTAACAATCAAATTTCAAAGAAAGCGAAAACTGTCAAAATTGCTGATGAAAGATAGAAGCATGAGCCAAGGCATAAGACGCTACCATCCAGCAATTACAAGTGGGTGGATTGAAACTGTCGCCGCATGCAAAGCTCTGCAATCAATAGGAAAATAGAAATGGACTTTGGAGTTAGATTTTCTCGTTTAGGGTGAACAGTCGCTAGCTGTGGAGAGCTTACGCATATCCCAGAGTTGCTCTGCTGATGAGTCCGAGAAGTAATGAACCTTGAAATAACATGCTGGGAACCTGGACCAGGTCGTTAGCTGCATCCGGTTCTGTAGATAGGAACAGACCAACAGCAAACATGGAAACTGAGAGTGCAGCTCCAGCAAATGGACCAGCTAGCGAGATGTCAACTTTTGTACTCCGGTCGGGAAGAATCGACTTGAACTGTACAAATCAAGTAAAAATATTACAAACGCTACTACATTAGCCAATAGTCTTGTCTTCGAAGCACTTCATCATAGGGAGATGGATGCATTGAAAAAGAGAAGTAGATGGATGCATTTTCGACCATAGTAGCTTTTCAATGTTTCTTCAAAGAACATTGAAAGATGTCTTCTTCTAGATGTGAATTACATAGAGTTCAACAGGAGATAAGTCCCCTAAACTTAAAATACATGATTAGAAATATTACCTGTGTGATTGCCCCAAAGCTGCCGAGTGTAATGTTTGGAATGAAGTATGGAATGCTAAGCTTAACTTTCTTTGGAACTGCAGCAAGAAAGTGCCCTAATTCCTGCAAATAAACAAGTCATAGGTCTTCACCAAGGAACATGTCTTCTTGATATGAATTTCAAACCAACATAACGAAGAAACACACAAGTTTAAACTTACATGAAACAAAAGAATTCCCAATACACCATATGCCAAAGGCAAAGCAGCGTCTACAAATGGATACAGCAGCTCCATATCAGGTGGTTCAACAGCATTTGGATCCGTGAAATACTTTACCACCTCAGGAGGTAAGCGGTTAATCTGTTGAATCAAGTAACTTCCATTATTGCATTTAAGAATAACAATCAATGACATAATGATGTAGTTCTTTATGGAAAAACGTGTACCTGAGAAGCAATTCCTAGCTCCACAGAGGAACCAATTGTCAAAAGAAATAATATTAAAGCAATCACATACTGCCAGAGTGTGGTTGGTCCTGGCTCCGAGACTTCTTTACGAAGCAAACCAAAGCTAACACGAGCACCACCACGAGGATCTGGTCCTTCAGAGTTAGGCTCCTCAATCATGAATAAATTATATTTATCGCCAGCAACTTCAACTAGTTTTCTCTGAAGTTTTGCAAAAACATCTTCCTTCTTTCCTCTCAAGTTCCCCAGAAAGAGTATTCCCTCTCCAAGGTCCCCAAATGGCTCTTCTTTAGTCACCCAAAATGTCGAATAACCGAAAAGTTTGTCCTTTATTAATTTGACATCTGCAGGATCTACTTTCTCTGGTCCAAGAAGCTCCATCAACTTAAACGAATCAATTTGGAAGCTGCTATATGTTGAATCAACAGGTGATACAGTTGACGGCTGAGGAAAAAGACACAAACTTGTACTCTTAGACTTAGTAACACAATGTTTAAGAGATTGATTCTAACAACCTACGAAATCGACCAATTTCATGGCTTTAAATCCCTTCCTAACACAATGTTTTAGATCTTTATTTCGCATGAAATGTGTAACAGTCCCTTCCTTGAACTCAAAGTTTTCAACTTGTCCATTAAAAAGATAAGCTTTTGCTTTTGATAACCACCAAACAGGACAAAAGGGAACATAGTCAGAGATAAGTGTGTGTATACCATTGAAGTCTTCTCGGAACCGAACTCGTTACTGCTGCTAGTAGTAGAGCTACTGTTACTTGTCTCATCATCATCTTCTTCTTCACGCGAAGCCGTTTTAACAACCGAAGACTTGTGGGTTTCTCCGTTATCTCCGACACTGTTGTCTCTGTTACTGTTTTCATCATTGCCTAAACACTTTGCAATCCTAAATCTATGAGAATCCTCTGTAGAAGAGAAACAGAGTCTCTTTTGCCATTTGGGTAGTGTTGTTGTTGTCTTAATGTTATCCCGGTGAAATGATCGGAATCTGATGTTAACGGCAGCTGCAAAAGCGACGCTGGTGAGAGTCCCCATTGGAGTGGAGAGAGAGAGAGATAAGGGAAATGTTTATGTGGGAGTGAGCTTTAAAGATTGGATTATCTTCTACCGGTTTTGTAACCGGTTTCAATGGCTATGTTGGTTTCGGTTTACTATCTTTGGCTTTAAATATCGGTTTATCTACCGGTTTTGTACCGGTTTTATAGGCCATTTTGGTTTCGGTTTGCTATCTTTGGCTTCAAATATGGGTTTTATCTCACCGGTTTCGTACAATTGACACCTATATTCCACGATAACGATACCGTTCTATTGGATTTTGGTCAAAGAAATGTTATTTGTGAATCAGATCTCAACTTGAAAGAGGTAATCAAAATAAATGGTTTAGTGATTAGTTCGAATTGGGTGAATGATGAAGAATTAAGTCATGACCAAGTGAAATAATCAAGAAACTTAACCAAGCGGGGATGTATGGTCAAGTGGTTAAGTCATAAAGGGAATGTTTATGTATGATCAGACTAAGTCATGTTGGTTTTTTTGGAGAAAACGTCTACAAAGTCCCTCTTTGTCAAAAGGAAACCCCATATCTCCCTGTAAAAATAGAATTTCGTTTTTATTTTTTTTTTATTGTAAAAGTGAGGATATTATCCTCTTACCCTAGCCAAAACACAAAAATAACAGAGAAAACTTGGATTTAACGAGAAAATGTCTAGGGAGTCCCCTTTTGTATAACTCTAACCTCTTAAATCCCTTTTTTGTCTACATATCCCCTTATCAATTAATGAAATGTGACTTGACGATTTTACCCTTTCTCTTTTTTATTCATTTTAATTAATTATTTTCTGAAATTGAAAAAAAAAAAAATCGAAAACAGGCAAAAAAAAAAAAAAAAAAAACGTGAGAACTCCTCTCAGCTCGAGCTCGAGCTCTCCTCGCCGGAAAATTCGATTTCAGTCGCCATTGCAGTCGTATCCTCTCCTCCGGCGAGCTGCGTCGAGATAGAGAGAAAAGGTATGTTGTTCGAGCTACATAGAGCTTCAAATTGAAGTTTTGGATTTAGAAATGTAGGAGATTCAATTCAATTAGATTTGGGTTATTGTGTTTGGGTATGCACATTGGAAGTTTATGCATAGTTTCTGGGTCGAATAGGTCTGTAAATGGGTAAGAAATGGATTACAGCAACTGAATCATAGTGAATTGTAGTTTTGAACCCGAAACCATTCGATTTGAGTTCTTGTCGCGAAAGTACAACTGGTATAACTGGGTAGAAATGTACCTGAATCTATTGAAAAATATATATGTAGTATTACTAGTTATACTAGTATTACCCAGATGTATGTAGTATGACTAATTATACTAGTATTACCCAGAATTGTAGTACAACTAGTACAACTAGTATAACTGACAGAGTTTATGTATTGTTTTTGCAGGATACAATGATGGAGAACATGAACATATATTTTAAATGCAAAGGTCGCATGTATAGCTTGATGATGAATACATCAGGGGGGAAAATAACTCTCTCAAGTTAGAAGGTAGGATATGCACGAAGCTTGGATTAGATGAAAGTAAGGTTAAATTGCAAATGAGGTACAATGCAGTGCTAATGGGACCAATTGAAGAGATTTACATTAGTGATGATGAGGATGTAGGTGTCTATATATCTTCAGGTGAAAATAACCGTAGATATGTTTTGTCAACTTGCTCTTGAAAACTTGCAGTTGCAAGGTGTTCGATATCCAAAAGTATCCTAATGGTTTCGTAATGGTACAACTATGTATGTCTTTGATTTCGTGTTTTTATGTATTCTCTGGTTTTGTAAAACTTGGTGAAACTTGGTTTCGTAATGGTACAACTATGTATGTCTTTGATTTCATGTTTTTATGTATTCTCTGGTTTTGTAAAACTTGGTAAACCTTGGTTTCGTAATGGTACAACTATGTATGTCTTTGATTTTGTAAAACTTGGTTAAACTTGGTTTGGTATAACTATGAAGAAATTAACAAATCTTCATAAATTCAAAATTATATCATGGTGAATGTCGAAAGTCTGAAAAATAGACAACTTAGTGTTACATAATCATAGTGGTTTGTAATCAAAATTTGGTAAATAAAATTTTCAAAAATCTTACACATTTGAACTTTCTACATGAAAGTTCTTATACTTTTAAGATATCTTTCTTTTGAATATCCATGGTGAATGTCGAAAGTCTGAAAAATCAACATTTTATACATATTATTGAATGAATATGTTTGGAATTTACCACATATACATAAAATCATGTGTACAACTAATAAAAATTAATATTAATCCAAGAATAACTAATTATACAGGAAAAACCCCAAAAGTCCAACTGTGTGTAACCGAGTACAACTTGTAAACTTGGAAAAACTGTGTATATTTGACGGCGCCATGTGTACAAATGACGGCGCCATGTGTACAAATGACGGCGCCACGTGTACAAATGACGGCGCCATGCGGTTCACGTGTTATTTGCCCCAAATATCGAATTAACCCAATTTCTTTTATTTTTCCCCAAAAATCATTTCAACCCCTTTATTTATTACCCAGCATTTACCTAGTTTAACAAAATAATGCAGTTGTACATATTTACCGTTCACAGTTGTACCTAGTTTTACAAAATTATACCAAAATAAAACAATAACTATTTTGTTCACACAATTGTACCTAGTTTTTCAAAACCGACAGAGTTATACCAAAATAAAACAACAACCAAATTCATGTTCATGATAAAATAAAATATCTTAAAGAGTTTTCAAAAACAGTGGTGGACTCCAATACACAATGGTACTTAATTCTTCTTAGTCCTCGTCACAATAGGACTCCGATACACAACAGTGGTAGACCCCTTCTTCGCATTCTTCTTTATCAACTTCACCCTCTTAGTGTCCTCTTGCCTTGGTTCATCAACATTGTCATCCGCCTTTTTCCCTTGTTCTTTTGGATCCACTTCATTTTTGCTAATTCTTTTTCTCTTTTCACATCTCGTGTAAGTCCTTTTAAGCATCTTCTCATTGTTACTTGGCTCATCCTCTTTTCCAATCTCCTTCTCTTTCTCTCCAACCTCACTCCCCTTAGTACCACCATCCACAGCACCCTCTTTCCCAATCTCCTTCTCTTTCTCTCCTCTATTTCCATCTCCAACTGCTAATATACTCTTACTTATACCAAGTTTATAAAAATTTAATAGATGAATAATGCATACCTCCAGAGGCATAACGAAACTAGGAAACACTTTCTGTGGACCAACAACTCCTTCACATTTTTCCAGTATATAGAAGATGTCTTTCAGATTTTCATCAAATGCATATCTCCCCCACGGGAATGTTTCGCACAAGTCTAGATCAGCCACAGCCCTTTGGAAAAACTTCTCCACAGTTGGTGCCTTCTCTCCTGTCTTAGTCTTTCCAACGATGATGCTGCTTAAGAAGTACAACACAGCTACTCTCAAACGATCATCAGAAGATCTCTTCATTGATAGGAACTTTTCCTCCACATCTTGATATTTTATTGTTGCTCCAACTCCAAATATCCTGCCAACAAACTCCATGCTGCCCTTGGTTTCATAGGACTTCGGAAATTGGTGACAATAAACCAAACTTCGCGCTTCTTCTCTAAACATGCTGTGCGAAGAAATAACAGCCACATACCCATCAACTTATGATTTGCGTCCCTGTGCATGTGGAAGAAGTGTCGGAACTGTGGGTGTTCCTTAAACCATCTCAACTCCTTGCCTCTAAGATGAGTCTCCAATAAGCCCACTACCTTATGAATATAGCACTTTGCTGAAATCTTGAATGGCTTTGTATACTCACTCGGACTAAAGTACATTTTAAAAGGTTGTAGAGCTTCGGTTTCCTCATTAGAATCATGCAATCAATATGGACCAAGTTATACACAGTTGTACCTTTTAGTCCGTCGGGGATGGCTCCACCATCGGGGATGGGGATGGCTCCTCCGTCGAGACTGGCTCCACCGTCGTTGTGGTGGATGGCTCCACCGTCTGGGATGTCTCCACCGTCGTTGCCTTTGTTACTCTCTTCCTCTTTAACCTTTTCTTTGGAGGCATTATCAGAGAGGTTTCGAAACGAGATACAAGAAATGAGAAAATGAATCAATAAAGTGAAGATGATTTCGCAATCTCTCAATTACAGTTTCTGGGGAGATTTGAAGAGGAGAAGAAGTTGCAAGAGATAACGGTTAGGGTTTGAATTGGGGAGAGTTTGAGGTTTCGATTTCAGAAAAAATATGAAACGCAGAGAATCGAAGGAGAATCGAAGGAGAATCGAAGGAAGAGATTTCGGGTTATGGGTGGGTCGAGTCTGGTTCGGGTGTGGGTTCAAATAGATCCGGGTTTTCACTGTAAAAATTGGATTTCGGTTGGGGTATACTGGTAAAACCAACACTTTTCGAATTAAAATTAAATCAATAATAATTTCTGTTTATAACGGGGAGATATGGGGTTACAGTTTGGTGAAAGGGGACATCCCAGACATTTTCTCGGATTTAACTCAGTTTCTTTTTTCCACCCATAACTATTCGGATCTAACCCGAAATTGAATTCTCTTTCTCTACTATAAAACCGTTTCTCTTCGATTTTTTCTCAAGAACGTTTATCAGCTTCGATTCTCTTAAATTCAAAAGAGAAATTACGATTTCTCCATTTTTAATTGGTAAAACTAGGTAGAATTAGAGATTTTGATTGTGAAAAATTGTTGAAATCTCTTGATAATGATTAAGACAAGGTGGTCAAAAAAGAGGAAGAGAGGAGAAGAGGGTTCGGGGAACCCTAATGTTGAGGAGAAAGATGGATAAAGTTTGCGGAACCCTCCGGATCTGAACAATGTTGACGAGGAGGTAGAAGTAGAAAAAATAGAGATAAAGAGTTATCTCCAGTTGCTAAGAATAATGAAGAAGAAGGGAATAAAGACGATGAAGAAGAAGGGAATGAAGTAGAAGAGAATGAAGATGAAGAAGAAAGGAATGAAGTAGAAGAGAAAGAAGATGAAGAAAGTGAAGAAGAAGAGAATGAAGATGAAGG